TATGAAGACCAGTGTCAGACATGCACGATTTTGAGCTTTAGAGGATTTTGAGTTTGCTGAAGCTTCCATCTGGGGGCCATAGGGTCCTTGCTGGCCTCAGCAGGTGCCGTCTTGACTTGGGAGGCATGGATCCAGGCAGGGGATCCATCGACCTTGACGGCTATTGGGGTGGTCAGCAACATGGTGTAAGGTCCCTTCCATCGAGTCCAGGGTTTTAGTTTGATGTTGCAGACGTAAACAGAGTCTCCAATTTGGAAGGGATGCGACACACTAGGTGGTGTGGACTGGTACACAGCTGCCAGCGGTTTTCAAACTTGGATCTGGATGAGTTGTAGGGCCTTCAGTATTGCCTGGAGACTGGGGGATGTAGCAAAGGAGTCCATGTCAGCCCCAACTCGTCTGCTATTGGGGGAGGGCCCCATAGAGGAATTCATAGGGGGCTAATCCAAAGAAAGCAGGAGTGTTCTAAACCCAGAACAGGGCCATGGGGAGGAGTTTGACCCAGTCTCTAGTACTAGTTTCTATTGCTAATTTATTGAGGGTCTCTTTGAGGGTTCTATGGGTATGCTCTACCTGTCCTTAACTTTGGGGTCTATATGTGCAGGATAGCTTCCAATTCAGCCCCAATATCCTGGCCACCAACTGACTTACCTGGGAAATGAATGCATGCCATTATCTGACCCTATTACCTTGGGCAGGCCAAAACGGGGAAAAATCTCTTCTAAGATCTTCTTGACCACCACCTGTGCCTTCTACATAGGGAAAGCTTCCACTTACTCAGAGAAGGTGTCTGTAAAAACTAAGAGATATTTAGCTCCATATGGTCCTGGGCATATCTCAGTGATGTCCACCTCTCAGTTTGTTCCTAGGCAGGATCCTCAAGCTCTGGCTCCTTCTGGCAATGCCCGACGATTGGCATTCACCTTGGTGCAGGGAACACAGGCCCCCGTAACCTGCTTAATCAGGGAATTTATGTTGGGTATGAAATAGAACTGTCTTTCTCTCTGTAGTAGCTCTCTCAGCTTTTTATGTGCTAGTTGTGTCAGGTGGTGGAGGTCAGTCACTAGCATTCTAGTTACCTTTTGGGGTAGGACTGTTTTGTCCTGAAGTCTCCAAGCTCCTTCTTGTTCATCATATTGCACCCCTATCTGTTGAACAATGTCCAGATCTCTATCTGAATATTTATATCTTGGGGTTTGGGGCTGCTCTCTAGGCTCTTTTAGGATGAGTATCTGTTCACCTAGAGCGGAGGCCTTGGCTGTTTCATCAGCCATTCATTCCCCGAGCTACTGGGTCATCTCTTTTTGGTGTCCGGGCAGTGCATAATACTCAGTCTCTTGGGCAGGTGAAGGGCTTTTAAGAGATCCAAAATCTCTTGCTTGTTTTTAATGTCCTTCCCCACAGAGGTCAGCAATCCTCTCTTGCCATATGTCTCCTCATGAATGTGGGCAAACGTATACCGGCTGTCGGTATAAACATTAACTGTCTTACCTTTGGCTGCCTTTAAGGCCTGTGTGAGGGGCACTAACTCAGCCCACTGGGCCGAGGTCTCAGGGGTTAGGGCCCTTGCCCAGATCACGTTGGTGCCATCCACCACTGCCATACCTGTCCTCCTTTCCCCCTGATTTAGGAAGCTGCTTCCATCTGTGAACCAGGAGCAGTCTGCATCCGGAAGTGGCTGATCCATCAGGTCTCGAGTACCATGGATCTCAGCTAACACTAGGTTGCAGTCATGCTCTACCGCAGTTTCCTCACCTTTCTCAGGAAGCAGGGTGGCCGGATTAAGCTAAGTAACCTTCCCAATTTGGATCCATTCAGGTTCAGTAACATGGCCTGGTAGTGGGTGACTCTGGCATTTGAGAGCCATCGTTGTGGGGGGGGGGGTTGCTGGGTTACTGTCTCTATAGCATGTGGGGCCATTATTGTGAGAGGTTGCCCCAGTGTGAGTTTATCAGAGTCCTTGACCAGGGTTGCCACCATGGCTATCATGCAGAGACAAAGAGGCCATCCTGATGCTACATTTTCTAGTTTCTTGGAAAAGCAGGCTGCCGGTCTTTTCCGGGGGCCCAATTGTTGGGTTAGGACTCCCTTGCTTTCCCTCCTCGTTCATCCACATATAGGGTGAACGGCTTTTTCATGTCTGGGAGGCCCAACGCGGGGGCTGACAATAAAGCCTTCTTGATGTTACCAAAGGCTTGCTGTTCCTTCTCGCCCCAGGTGTAGAGAGCATTGGCCTTCGTGAGGGGGTATAAGGGGCCCGCCATTTCTGCGAACTCTGGTATCCAGAGGCGGGACAAGCCTGCTCTCCCTTTTCTTGGAAGTGAATTTGGGCTCCTATCTTGGAGACAAGATATCTTCCCAGCAGTGGGTCTGGACACTCTGGTACCAGCAAGAATGGATGAGTATCATTTCCCGAGGATAAGTGGACCTCTCTCTCTGAAGTCCATTTATATAGTCTTCCCTTGGTGGCCAACTGGACCCATGATGTTTTGGAGCTCAGAGGCCCCTGGGTCAACCAGAAATGTCACTGGTTAGCCTCCCACTTTAAGAGTTACCCGGGGCTCAGGGGGAGGCTCCTGGCCCAGACTCACCTAATCTTCCAAGGATAGTACCGGGACAGGCTTGCGTTTTTGTCTTCTGGATACGGACCGGACAATCCTTGGCCCAGCGCCCCTTTTCTTTGCAATAGGCACACTGGTCCTGTTCCAGCGGTGGCCTCCTCCTGTTTCCCAGGTTTCTATTCTGCCCGGGGTTATTCTGCTCTGTCCCTGAGACTATGGTGGCCAGGATTTTAGACAGTTCTTTATTTTCTTTCTGTCTCTTATGTCCTCTCCCTGATCTTCTTCCCTATGCAGCTTTTCCTCCCTTTGCTCCTGCTCTCTGAGTAGTCTTTCCTCCTTCTCCTCCGGCGTCTCTTTTTTGTTGAAGATCTTTTTAGCTTCTTTTACTAGGTCTGGCAAGGTATACCCCTGGAGCCCTTCCAGCCATTGTAGCTTAGTGCGATGTCTGGGGCCGATTGTCCAATAAAGGACAATATGTCCTCGGCCTGCCTGTCAGGTGCCTGGGGCTTGAAGGGAGTATACATGCGGTATGTCTCCCTTAATCTCTCTAGAAACCCTGCCGGAGTTTCCTCTGACCCTTGAACTATATAGCACGTACCTTAGCCAAATTGGTGGGGCGTCTACCTGCCCCTTTGAGACCCGCCAGGAGAATCTGGTGATAGAGATGGAGTTGCTCCCTACAGGGAGGGGTGTTGTGCCCCAGTGGGGTGAGTCAAGGGGAAGGCTGCAGCACCTCTGAAGGCCAGCGGGAGCGCGAGTCCCTCCACAGCCTGTGCCTGTCAGAGAAGCTGGCAGCCGAGGAGCAGCAGAGGCTACAGGGACAAGGGGAGTGGGAGTGTGCAGCCTGGGGGTAAGGGTATAAGGGGAGTTTGAGAAGGGGGAAGTGGGAGTGGGGCCCCAGCATTGCTGAGGCAGGCGAAGCAGTGAGGAACAGCTTCACCCAGGCAGATGGGTCACTGGCCAAACTCTCTCACAGTGAAATGTAAGGTACTTGATCTGGGTCCCCATGGGGTCCTTGGTCAAAGACTTGAGCTTTCACATGCAGAATGACATCAGTGTTATAGGTCCCGTCCCTCGGCCAGCCAACCTCAAAGGCCAGCCATCCCTGAGGAACAGAAGGTGATCTATTTCTTTTTCTTGATGTCCAGAGAGGCATTTTGAGCACAGTCGAGGACATCTCTCCAGTTATCTAAAGTCAAACTTAGGGGGGTAGTTAGTTGTTGCCCCATGTGGAGAGGGAAAAAGAGGTAGAGACAAAGACAGATAAAGCACAAAGAAGCGTGGTGGTCAACTCAGTGACCAATTGAAAGTACAGATTCAGATGCGAGTGGCCGTGAACAGCCTCATTCCCCAGGAAGGAGAGACACTAGGTCTGTCACCTTCCTCCAGATCACTCAGGAGGAGACCTGCAAAGCAGAGACCGGGGGACGTCTGAGAACATCTGCTCCCCTCACTGGTCCCAGATACAGGGTCTGTGCACCTGCGCAGGCACAGAATTCAGATGTGAAATTGACCAAAGGACAAGAACACAATAACATAACATAAAACATAGATCGGGCTTGTTTTTACCTCCAACTGGCAGAGTGAGAGTGCCAGTTTGGACACCCCAAAATCTCGATGGAACCTCCAAATGATAGACCCCAGACCCAGGGTACTACCTTCACAAGTGGGTGCCACAAGAACCCAGACTCCAGTCCAGTTGATGCAAACAGCAAGAGGTTTATTGATGCTGTACAGCCAGGATCCTCTTGTTCTAAGAGCAAGAATCATGCCTACTGCAGCCACATGGGTACTTTTAAAGAAAAAAAACCCACAAAAGTCATAACATTACAATTCCCATACAATTTTGTTTCAATTGATTTATGCCTAGAGGCTAATTTTACAAGATCATGGCTTGATCACAGGTGGGGTACAATCAGGTCCACATGCACATTCTTCCCGAAACCTCATGGTGATTATCAGGGTGGGAGTGAAGGTTCCACAAAGGTTACAGTGGTCTATCCAGGAACACTTGCAATTATCCCAGTCACAGTTGAGCACATCTCTTAACAGAAATCCCTTTACCTTGTTACAGTGAGGCACGGGTGGTTGAATAATGGCTGAGTCAGTTTGCCCTTGGAACTAGCTTTTTAGTTCCTCATTCTCCTGGGGCTTGGGGGCTGTAAAGCCTGAAGGGTGAGGGCCTTTCAAATCCTATTATTGACAATGCAGTTTAAGAAAATGAGAGTGGGGCTGGAGAGATGGCTCAATGGCTCAATAGTTTAGAGCATTGAACACTTCCAGAGGTTCTGAGTTCAGTTCCCAGCAGCCACATGGTTGCTCACAACCATCCGAAATGAGATCTGGTGCTCTCTTCTGGGCTGCAGGCAGACATGCAGGCAGAATACTGTATACATAATAAATATATAAATCTTTATTTATGAGAAAAATGGGGTGTAATTATTGTGTCTGTGAGAACAAGGTTTATACTCTTAATAAATGAGGTAGTCTGTTCTCAGCCAATCTAGTTGGTCATGAAGACTAACTATTTAATAAACACTTTTTAACTCAATGGAATAAAAGCACAGAATTATTTAAGTTTTCCAACAATCGTCTTTATTATAAAATTATTAGCTACTCCATTCCTATTTTGTCTTTTGTTGGGGGATTCCTGGGAAATACTGCTATAGAAAGCTGGGGACTCTCTAGGCCATTTACCATGTCACTCTGTCTCCTTCACTAGAAGACATGTAGACTGACACCATCATCAGGAATTCATGGCACCACTGGGCCTTCAGTAGCTTCTCTGTGATGCTAGTCATCTGTTGATATGGGGTTGCCTAGTCTACATGTGTTGGTTTTACATTTTTCTCCTTGATGAAGCTTTCCCATGAAGGGAGGTGGAATTTAAAACTAGATCACATGGACTTTGGTGACTAATATTAAGAGTCTGAATTTTGTTTTTAAGATTAAAGGGGAGGCTTTGGAGTGATCTGACTGCTGCTTTAGGAAGAATACTACCTTTAGTGTGTGTGTGTGTGTGTGTGTGTGTGTGTGTGTGTGTGTGTGTGTGTTGAAGTTGGAAAGCAGTTGTGTTTGGATTGCACAATCATTATAGTCTTCTGAAGGTTTGGATGTGAGATGTGAAAGACTGAGGAATAATATGAAAAACTGAGGTCTTTCTGCTTATTCAAGAAACACACCTCTCATCAAGGCCAGAGATCATCTCAGGGTCGAAGGATAGAAATAGGTATTCCAAGCAAATGCACCCAAGATCAAGCAGAAGTAGCTATGCTAATATCTGACAAAATAGACTTCAAACAAAACTAACCAGAAGAGACAGGGAGATACTACATAGTCATGCAGAAGATGGCCACTAAGTAGACCATTGTTTTTTGTGACCCCAAAGTAGAAGCAATAATAGTACTTTCTGTGTATCTCTAAACTCTGAGGATTATGCTATAGAAAAATTCCATCATTACATCATTAAAGATAGGACAAAATTAATAAACATCATGCATTAAAATTGTTTAATTGTATAAGTAAATATCCACTTCTGGCAATATGTTATAATTTAATTCAAATTTATATATCAACAGTTTCATGATAGCAAATCCTGCAAGTTTTAGCTTAAGTGTTTAAAATGACACAAATTTATCATTATAATCTTTTAAAATCATTGCATCTGATCCAACACCTTTAGAAGCATAGGCAAATCAGAGAGGTACAAAAGTTTGCATCAAAACAATCTTTCATGCAAAAACAAATAAACAGTGATTCACTAAGATAAAAATGATAATGTGCTATACATTTCCAAAAGAAATTATTTTGGCAAATTTCACCTTAAATAAATGACAAACATTTGAAGAGATACATATGTTTAACCAATTTAAACATTACACATTGTCAATATTTATAAAAATATCCTAGTACTCTATTAATATGTACAAGCTTTACAATTTATGTGTAAGCTAAAAGAAATAAAATTAATATTTAGGTACAAATATAAAATCTCTAAGGTCTTAAACAATTTCTATAATGGTAATATTCATGAAAACAGCTTAGATTATTCAGAAGCAAAACGATAAACTAACATTAAATATATCTAAAATGCCATTAAGCAAAATAATGACCGTAGTGTGGTGCTGATGTATGCATTACAGACATCAGATAAGTTCAGAGAATAGAGTATTTATCTGTATCTATCTGTATTTCTACTTATCCTGAATCACAAGCACTAAGAGAACTAACTGTCTTAGATTTAACTGACCACTTTGCCTAACACAAGTGCCTAACTTTGTAAAACCGGTTGTATAGTTTGTTCGAATAAAATGTAAGTAGCTTTTACAGGAGCATCTTCCTAAGCCTATGCACCTGTTGAAGGCAGTACTGTGGCAAACTCCCTTCTCCCCAAACTGTACTCCTTTGCATTTAGTAAGCCAAGGAAGGATGTAGGAGAAAAAAGCGAGGGAGTACAAAAGCACAGAGAAGACAGTTCCCTCTCTGTCAGGGATGCCCTGGGTCTTAAACAGTGATTTAGGATATGAAAGTGAAGAAAATGGAGTCGACATCTTTCCGCTAAGAGAGATGTCCTTCATTTTTTTTTTTTTTTTTTTTTTTTTTGAGACACCTGCCTGCTTCTACAGCCCGAGTGCTGGGATCAGAGGCTTGCACCTCCACCGCCCGGCCATCTTCATCTTCATCTGTACTGCTAGAGTCATCCGAGGAGCTGCTAGAGTCGTCTGAGGAACAAACATAATAGATCCAGGAGCTTCTGGAGTCTTCCTACGAGCTGCCAGAGTAGATTCAGGAGCTGCTAGAGTCCTCGGAGGAGCTGCCAGAATAGATCCAAGAGCTGCTAGAGTCATCCAAGGAGCTGCTAGAGTCATCCAAGGAGCTGCTAGAGTCATCCGAGGAGCTGCTAGAGTCTTCCTCTTCTCCACCTTCCATCATATTCTGCCTGGATACCTGGGAGCCACCATCAGCGCCCTGAATAATTTCCGAGGAATCTGTTCCAGAAATCAGCAGCACTTGCATTTCCCTAGGAGCCAGCAGCCCTTGCATTTCCCGAGACCTTTTTTGCTGCTCCTCTGCTGAAGCAGACTGCTGATCTGTCTGTCCACACATGGGGCTGTTGCCTCCAGACATGGCGATATTCTTTCGCTTACCATAGTTGGCCTTTGCCTCTCTGTAGGCGGCATACTCCTCAGATGACAATCCCTTGAGCCAGAGGTCCATGTCCACCCAGTATTGTTTCTGTAGCTCCTCGGCTTGGCTGTTATAGTGCTCTTTCTGGCTCTTTGGGACTTGGTGCCATCTTTTGCTAATCTCAACCCAGCGCTCCCTCAAGGGTAGATGGCGCAGCTCCAGATTTGACCACATATCTTGGTGAAATTTGTGGTATGCATTCATAGGGGGTTTCTTGGGTTCTCTCTGAAATTTCATCACTGAGGGAGATGTTTTAGGAAGATCTGTTTTTGGAGAAGACTTCACGTTTTCCATATCTCTTTGTGATTTCTTAGGGACTTTGGTTTCCTGGCTCCTGAGCACCACAGATTTCTTATAATGCTCTACATCAGGATGGCTTCTCTTGAATTTAGTCACTTTTTCCTCAAAGTCCCGTTTCTCCTTCCGGAAGTCCTGAATGTATTTCTCCTTGATCTCCGCTGGCAGCTGATTGTATTTCTCAGCCAGGAGTTTGGCCAGCTGCGAGTTGTTGTATTTAGGATAGCGCTGAGAGTACTTAGCCCGCTGCTCCTTGTAGAAGCGCAGATAGGCAGTCAGGGGTCTTTTGGGGAAGTCAGGGTGTTTCTTCCTTTTGGACTGTTGTTTCATATGTTCACTGGCTTCTAGCACTAATTCTGACAGTGTGCGGAACTTCCTCAAAGTATGAGAAAGTTGCATCCACTTTTGTTTGCACATTTTGCCTGAAAAATGTTTAAAAGCCACTTTGGCCCAGTCTAGGTCTTCCTGGGTTTTTTTGAATGATGTGGAGTCATCTGAGGGGATATTTTTCTTGATGCATTCCAGTAACTTCAGAATGTCTTCTTGGGACCATGGATAATCTTTATCAAGTGATGCCATCACTAGCTTAGGTTCTGTGCCCACTAATAATATCTCAGTTTTGCAAACACCTCAACAGTAGCTTGAACTGCTTAGACAAACACGTACAACTTTGTAGATAGTTTCTGAATTCCACAGTTAGTGTGAATCTGTATTTCTGAAGAGAAATAAAATGAATGTTAGACTTCCTT